TGTGATACTTAATTGCTAAAATATTGTAAAACAATTCCTCATCATGCAGTTTTGCCGCTACCTCTTTTACTTGGATAAGATTAGGACCATTCAGTTGGAGTACACAGATGCAAAAGAGGCCCTTCTTCAAGCTGCTAGAAATGCCCCCTGTTGCAGCCCTGGGTTTTCGAGTTCAATGCAACAAGTGGGCTATCATTGTTCGATTATTGCTAGGTGAAATCCCAGAGAGTACCATTTTTATGCAGAAAGGCCTGGAAAAGGCTTTGAGGCCATACTTTGAGCTTACAAATGTAAGTTTATGAAGCTTCAGTTGTGTGTGTTATTTCATGCCTTGGGAACCTAGGTCTTAACTTTCCTAATTATGGAAACAAATGGACAGCAAAACACATATGCAGCTCAAACATTTCTTTACTACTTATATGCGGACACAACCTTCTTTCTTATCTCATATATAATGTACAAAATTATTCTTAAGTTGGTCATCTTAAGAAGTAGTGAACTTGGTTAAGTGCAATAGATGCTTTGTTTATATGTTAATATGCTTCTAATATTCTTACGTTTTGCCAGTCAACTCAAGAGTTGATGCTGGTTTTTGAGAAAATGGAAATTTTTGTGCATGTTACAGGCTGTTCGCATTGGAGATTTGGAGCTTTTTAGATCTGTTGCTGAGAAATTCTCGGGCACATTCAGTTCAGATCAGACTCATAACTTGATTGTTAGGCTGCGGCATAATGTCATAAGGACTGGGCTGCGAAACATAAGTATCTCATACTCTCGTATCTCCCTTGCTGATGTTGCCAAGAAGCTAAGGTTGGACTCTGCTAACCCTGTTGCTGATGCGGAGAGTATAGTAGCCAAGGCAATCAGAGATGGAGCAATTGATGCTATATTGGATCATGCAAATGGATGGATGCTGTCAAAGGAGACGGGTGACATCTACTCTACAAATGAACCTCAAATTGCATTCAACTCTAGGATTGCTTTCTATCTGAATATGCATAATGAGGCAGTACGTGCACTTTGATTTCCTCCAAACTCTCACAAGGAGAAAGAAAGTGCTGAGAAAAGGAGGGAGAGACAACAACAACAACAAGAACTAGCGAAGCACATCGCAGAGGAGGATGACGATGAGTTCTGATTTAATCACTTTCAAAAGGCATCGCCTATACCTGCATAATTAATGCCTTCATTAACATGTGCATTTCTCTTTCCTTGAAATTCTGGGCAAAAATGTTATAATTTCGAACTTGGCTTGTCATAGATATTTAAGTTGTTTTAATTCAACTTGGTAGTACCTTATTGGTTCCAAAATTTTATTTGTATTGTTCATTTCTTCACCCATTGAACAGTCGTTTGAGTGCTATCTCATCCTGGTGAGAAACTCATCTTTAGCTTTTTTTTACCAAAGTTTTTCCTTCGCTAATTTTTATTTTATTGGTATTAAATAATAAATATACACCTTAATTAAAATCATCACTTGCTTTTACCTTAGAACTTTTATTTTTTATCTGAATAAATTTACGAGATTTCTTTTTCTTTTTTTTTTTGGGTCAGTTTTTAAATCCTTTTTATTTAGGTGATTAATTGTGAGAGAGAAATTTGTTTATCTAAAAGTAAAAATTCGTAACTTTAAGGATTTAATCTTGGTGTCGAATCTTATTGAGAAATGCAGATTTTACAATAATATACTGAGAAAACAACCCAAAATCTGCAGTCTAACCAAAAAGACCAGCAAATGGAAAAAACACTCTCCTAGACAGGGTTACAGGGGGCTCTGGCCTCTTCTCCAGTCTAGTAAGAAGCTGAAGTACAACAACACCTAAAACCAAACATAATATAAAGTGCATAAGTAAAGGGACACAACCATGTTGTTTATTAATAAAATCACACTAAACCTAGGACTTAATCAAGGAGGATTAGATCCCTGACACAACAGAACATCAAAGCAAAATAGCTGGTCTTTTTGCATCCTTAGCTAATTAAAGCTGAAGTATAATCTGGGTAACACCGTCCACTGCTTCTGAGATAAGAAGCGTGTCTTCAGATTGCTGGCCGAGCGCTGGCTTCAACAGGTCGATCTCGAGTTTGAGGTCCTCCATTGCAGCAACCATTCCCGCCGTTTCCTCTCTCACGCGGGTTATCTCCGCCTTGGCAGCAGCAGCTTTGGCTTTCATCCTCCTCAGAGTCCTCTTTTGAACAAAATTGATGAAAAAGGTCAATATATAAGTAAATTAACGGAGACGTGTGTTAAAGAATGAAATAGGTAGGATTTGTTGAGAAAACAGAGGCAGTTACCTTAAGCTTGCTGCTGCGCCTTAATCTTCCACTACGAGTCTCCCTTGTTCCCTCCATTACAACTTCTCCTTGTTTCTCTGTGATATCTCATTTAGGTGGTATATATAGAGACGAGGCGGTCCCCACATATTAATTATTCTTCTTCATTGTCTTTGGTAGAAATTAATTATTCTTCATTTGATATTCAGTAGTTGGTTTTTTAGTGAGTTTTGCGTCACAAAACAACCAAACAACTGACTATTGAACATTGATTTTCTTTTGACGTTCAATAGTTATAAATTTGTTGTTTTGTGTATGTGAATCAAAGTTTGATGTCTCTGACAGAAAATATAGAAGTCTTGAGGTGAGGCTGTCCCCGCAAATGAATTGGTTGTCTGGTATCAAAGTTGGTGTTTGTGACACGAAAAATATGTCTTGAGGCGAGGCAATTCCCACACAAATGAATTGGTTGTGGTCCCCACAAATGAATTGGTTGTTTTGTGTCTGTGACACAAAATATAAAAGTCTTGAGGAGAGACGGTTCTGACAAATGAATTGGTTGTTTTGTGTTTATGGCATAAAGTTTCATATATCTGTGATAAAATATGAAAGTCTGTGATACTAAATATAGAAATCATGACGCGTGGCGCTCTGTTTTATGTCTGTGACACAAAACAACCAACTTTAAACATCAAATTAAATTTTGTGTCACAGATATGAAACTTTATGCCATAAACACAAAACAACCAATTCATTTGTTTATGGCATAAAGTTTCAATTTTGAATGTTTAGGTAAAAA